GCTTGTTAGACCTTGGCCAATCACTGTAACAGCACACATATAAGGGACTCATCCAGCAGAAGGAACTGATTGATGGAAAAGGGCTTGTTTTGCTGTCTCTGTGCAGCCTCAATTCAAATCATTAAGAACAGTCAACTAATAATAATTACTTTTAACTGGGTTCAGTCCAAGAGCCTCAACAAGAAGCCAGAGGACAGACAATACAGCCAGGAAGTGACTACAACCCTCTCTCCATCGATAATGCTGGCAGATCTCATTACTGAGGCGACCTGCGGTACACTGCCACTCGGTCCTGATCATATAAAACCCATTTCAGTGTGCCGTCCACGATGGAGCGCCAGCGTAGTGGGATATTCATTATTCAAATTTTAAGCATTGGAAATCCCAATATGTTACAGAGGCCAGATGAGACGAGATGAAATAGCTTAGCCTTTTGTCCAGAGAGCATTGACTAATAGTCTTGCTCCCCAGAATCAATTTCCCAGCCGTAAGAATCAGAATCTCCTGATTGTACTGTACTGTTGAGGACCCCCCCCCCCTCCCACTGCTACCACCTAATACCCCTCCTGGCTGCCCAGAATAACTTATTGATCGGTGATAATGTTACGGGAGGTGCGGGTGGCCAGGGCGGAAGACGGACTGGCCTCAGTCATTCTCAGCAGGGCTAAATTTGGGTCCTCACTGCATGCTGACACAACCTGCCACCAGCCAAATTTCTGGCTGAGAATTAAAAAAACATATTTAAGGAGAGATGCAGGACTGGATCGATTTTTATACACAATTCTAACCTGCTAACGCAAATTTGAGCAAAACTGGATTCCAATTTCAGAACAATTAAGTTAGAGTAGATGTGAACAACACTCAAAGTTTTTTTTTATGGTCTTCCTGTTGTCAGTTAATAATTAATGTTTGGAACAGAAGCTGTGTCTTATTTTCATGCAATGAAAAAAGAAGGATGTTGTTAGCTCTCAACTCTGAGAATGTTTTAAACATTTGCAAAACAAGAATAGAAGGTAAAAGTGAACTTCTCTGTGCAGCTCTCAGCCTTCCTATTAGTTGCTGATAACCTCTCTTTCTTGAATCCGGAATGAACTGCAGCACAGTTTCCCCTTAAATAGCTTATAGGTTTCTGGTTTACTTAAAAAAACACACCACTGATACTGAAATTAGTTTCTGGATGCAGTTACCTCGCTAATCTAGCGAAATCCAATGTTTGAGTTTCTGGGTGGTTGATCACAAGAAAGATTCAACAGCAAAAAGCCAGATTGCTGTGACCTTTTTGTCTCTCATTGCATCTCTATATACTTAAATAAGTCAAGCTCAGGGGTATTTAAAAAAAAAAGATTTGAATATTATGTAAGTCTACAGCGTCTACGCAAGTCCAAACCTGCACTGTTTAGAAGCATTCCTTTTCCAACTCTGCTAAATCTAATGAGAGGCTCGTTACAGGGCCTATACTGAACTGAATCACACACTGAAGGAATCCCACAATTAGATTTAGGCATTTTGGAGAAGAGATGCATCTAAAAGATGCAGAATGGTAGCTCTTAAGGACTAGATTTAGGCACCCAGGGTTTAGAAGATACAGCCAAGAAGAAAGAAAACATATTCTTTATGTATTAGCCAGTTTTGATGACTAGTCATTAGATTTACTGACTTTGGTTTAGGGTCAGCCTAAGGTGATAAGTGTGTCAGAAAATAGATGGATGGATGATCAGGCTAAGAGATGGTCTAAATATTGGGCTGGTAGCCCTTCTCTGTTTGATCCTGTGCTGAGGCTGAAAAGTGGTTGTGATCAATACCTGCAGGCCCTCTGCCAAAGGGCTGCAGGTGTGTGTGTGTATGTGTATGTGTGCTGTGTCAGCATACACTCAGGACTTCATCAAACACTCCCAACACCTTTTCCTCACACGCCGACATGCATTTACAGACACCCACATCGGTCAACGCCCCACTCAGACGCTCATTTTCACTTTCCCCTTTCTTTGCTCAGCAACCTGAACATCTTGCACACACAAATGGACTTGCATACACAAATTTGTCCCAATCCACACCCATCCCAACAATGATGTTAAATACCATTAAAATGTCAGCCTCGTTGTATTGATTGGAATAATAACTCTGAAAGGAAGAAGAGATGGCTTGTTGATGCTAAGCAGGTGCATGATCGCTGGAACATCGTTCACTGTCACAGAGTTGCAACGTCAGGGTTTCACGATCCTCTGGCAGAATGTGGATCACGGTTTACGTTCGACCACCGACTCCTTTTATTTCTGTCATCAATCATTGTCCAGTGACAGGCACACCACGATTCATGCTGAGAGTGGGGTCATTCTGAGAAGCCCTCTGATCACAGCTGCTGTGCATGCATGTCAAAACCAGAGCGTATGTTCATCACCAGGGGAGTTTTGCTGTCTGTCACATATGATCGTGGAAAAGGATCTATTATATAATTTACAGGTTCTAGAGTTTGAATGTAGCCAACAGTATTTTCATTAAAATTAGTCTCTGAAGCACTTAAGTGCAAAATTGTAAGGCAAGACTCTTAAAATTTCAATCTTTGAATCATATAATGCACTCTACCACAGAAGAACTCCCCTGAATTTATGTAGGAGCTTTAAATACCACTTCCATAAATGTATGAAAAGCTTATTTAACCGTTTGTAGTACAATTTTAAAGATTAAAATAGAATGAGATGTGAGGCTCTGTGACAACTGCTTTTGTGTTTTGTTCTTCACTTGCGCTATCTTTAACTTTTTTCTTTTAGATCAATTTCAGTAATACATAGGTTATTACTGTTCTTACTTCTTACTTTACTTACTCCTTGACAAAGAATAACATTGCAGAGAACATCCATTCATCCATTTATTTTCTGTACCCTGTTAATCTACCTAACAGATAACAGGAAAATAAACTAATTTATCAAAAAGCCAACAGAGACACCGTGCACAGACTCACACAACAGAGGTTTAGACGGACCAGTTAGCCTAACATGCATGTTTGGGGGCTGCTGATGGGGTGGGAAAAATTAGACATTTTGAGGTAAAACATTCAAAGCATACACGGAAAGACCAAAAACTGAATATAAATTGGTGGCTGTCTATTTGGGAGGGAAAAGCGCAGCTTTATTTTAACAATAAATCAGCGCTAATCAAGGTGCTGCATAGTCAGAACATGATCTTAAACAACTAATAAAGCAGCAAACTGAGGCTGTACCTCAGAAATTATGTTTGAGACAAAGAATCTATCAAAAAATAAATACATCTATTCAGATAGAATATATAAGGCATTAATATCAAAGAGGTTTCAGAATGGAACTTGATATCTGCATATTCCCTATTTTTAAAATGATCAGTTTTAATTAAAAAGAAAAAAAATGTCCCGACTCTCACATCAATGCTTCTGCTTTGTAAGGTCAAATATTTCTCCAGCACTGTTGTTGCCTGTTAGGTAAAGAAGTAAAGCCTTTTTATACCTTCACATCTGAGAGTTTCACAGATGATCCTGGTTTTAGTCTGCAGAAACACAGAGGTATCTCAAACAACAAATCTCTTATTGAACTATTTAAAGCGTGAGCTAAAAGAGTCTGAAAAGACTCTACATCTAGCAGCAAGAAACTGCTAAGTCTGCAACAGTGTAACCTTATAAGCCTTCTTTCTCGACTTAATCAAGTATTAACATGGTGTGTGCATGTGTGCCTGTTGTGGGTGTGTGTGCGTTCCTGTTTCTGCATCAGGGTAAGAATCATTTCTCAGATTTCACCAGTAAACTGCAAACAGTTTGAAGCAAAGTGAGGACATTTTGCTGGTCCTCATTTCCCTTTTGCTAATGGTTGGGTTTAGGACTAGGGAGTGGATTGAGTTTAGGTTAAGGCTGGGTATGCACTGCTAGGTTTGGGGTTATTGTCAGGGTTATAATATAAAAAGAGTGGAAATTACAGAAAAGCAGTGGGAGCCAATGAGAGTGACATAGTTCCCATTATATATATTCAGCAGGACTAGAATGTGTCTCTGTGAGACAGAAATAAAGATAACAGAGTGTATGGAATGGATTCAGCTGATTTTCTTTAAAAAAAAAAAAGAAAAGAAAAAGTGACAAAAACAATTATATATGAGCAGGTTTGCAAAACGCTGACAAAGCAAGAATTCTTTTGTTGAAAAAACTTAGATAGAAATTGGCAGGTACCGTTATATCATTTTTTCAGGCAACCAACTTCAAAGTGTTGCATTCTGCAGAGGTGCAACTCTAATGTCCCTTTTATAATTTAGTAGATACTATTCAATAAATTACATAGATATCTTAATTTCTCTGAGTATTGAATGGGTCAAACAAGATCTCTACTAAATACTGAAACTCAATTATTTTTTCTAAATCCATCAGTAATAGCACCTGAAGACAGATATGACTGAATGAATGAATGACTACATGAAATTTCCTTTCTACCTATTAAAAAAGTACATTTCTTCTGATAATCATACATTTTAGGACAATTTGCATGTTGACTAATACCCATTTCTACCCAACCAATGCCATTTTATCTTTTCGCGCTATCATTATTAACTTATATCATTTCATCCATATACTGTAAGTGTAAGTGTTTGCATTGTATTCTCTAGACAATTCTGTATTTATGATTGTAATAAATACCTATCGTATCTATAAAAATTAACTTTGTTATTGTTTTTATGTATTTTTTTTAAATAAAAACATACTTATTTCTGTGCTTATTGATTTCTACAGCGATTACTGTAGTTTATCTTGTAACTACGGGTAGAGGCAATATACAGAAATCTTTTTTACATATTTATGGGAGTAATTTCCAACAATTATGAAAAAAAACTACAGGAATTCAAAAGGCATGGGTAACAATGTCTTCCTTTTTTCCTTTTTTATCAATATATATTATGAGGTATTGAGTTTCTGCTGTCTTTCTTACATAATTAGTCTCTTTTCAACAAACGTGTAAACCAGTGAAAAATAGAAAACAGTTATTCCATACCTTGCAGGAACCTCAATATTGGAGATTGCGTAGAAGTACTTTAGCAGATTATCTCTCTGGACGTAGGTGCCTCCGAGCGCAGGCCGCAGCAACCTCAACCTTAGGTTGGTGAAGGTAAAGAAGTCCCTCAGTCCCTTCATACTTTCCATGCGGGTGTACAGGCTGTCCATATTCTGCAGCCGAGGGCCAGCAAACACAGCAAAGCGGTCCCTCACCTCAAACTTCACGTTCTTATCATTCTTGGAGCCAACCCAGCGCGAGTACTGCTCAGTACAAATGACCCGAGTGAGGTTTGTGGGAGAGAAGTCACGCACTTGTTTGGCCTGCATGTTAAAGGCGTCTTGGCAGTCATCAGCATAGAACTGGTACGGTTGCCAGGACTTTCCGTGGTCCATGGACTTATCCAGAACCATGATTGTGGGACGGCCGTATTCAAACGTGATCTGGATGTCATCGGTGAGCTCCAGACTCTTGTTCCAAGACATGGTGATGTTGGCTAGCAGAGGCTCAGGGTGTCGACCCCAGGTTACTGTCTGCCAATAGGTGATTAGGCCGTTGCGTTCACGGTCCTGCATCAGCTGAGGAGGGTGGGCCAAGTCTGGGTTGGAGGCATCACATTCATCGCTGCACAAGTATGGGTTCTCCTACGAAAGAGATAAAGACGAAGTAGCAAGGTCAGTAAATAACCAAAACATTTGGATCATAATTGGAGTTTGGTCATCTACATCACAATAGTACAGAAAAGCTTTAAATGTAGTAGAGTAAGTATCAGTGAAGGAAAAAAAGCTTTAGTAGTATTAGATACAATCCTTTAATCCAAAGCAATATAATCTCTTACTAATAAATTTGCTCCAAAATGTCCAAAAGTCAGTCGTTAGTTTATAGAGTTTGGAATCCTGAGGTTCTGAGTTTGAGCTCCACTCCCACAGACTGCCACTCTAGGTCTCTGACCAAGACCCTTAACCCCACAGTGCTCCCCGGGTGCCGCACAATGGCAGCCACTGCTCCCCAAGGGGATCGGTTTAATGCAGAGAATTCATTTTCATTGCTTTGTGCTTGTGACAGTGTAACAGCAATAAAACCTGAAAGAAAAAGATTATAAGATAATTTAATCCAAATCAAGCACTATAAGCGGGGTAGAGTCTGCCAAGCAACTGAACTGGTCTTAAAGGTTAAGATACTAAACAACTGAAGATGGAGTGTGAAGGTCAGGGGGACTGCATGGACAGCAGAGTGTTGCAACACTTTAACTCTAAAGAACTGATCCTCCACTTCAACTAACGCCAAGACTTTGAAACTACTGCCCCAGTACAAACATAAAAAAATCATCAGGATTATTACCAGATCCACACAAGCCTCCTTTCATCTGCACAAAGAGATGACTTTTGTTATCATTCTAAAATGTTTATACACCATAAATAAGAATTTTATTTCCCTTCTAATGCAACTGGAAGTTAAAAAGATGTGTTTAAGGATTGGTCTGTCTATGAAGCTTCATGTGGTTTCTGTTTTACTGGGAGAGTATATCGACAGTCACGACTTAGTTAATTTAATTATTGTACTTGGTAAAAGGTTTATCTTTAAAGCCAAAAATAGATTTTCATTTAGTATTAATTTCTTTAAAACATTTATTCAGCATTTTTTTACTTTAGAAAGTTACATGGTTGAAATGAATAATATAAAAACCGATGGGAAGTTCTCATATGTTTATTCTGAAAATGTAATTTGTGGACGAATGAATGGGTGAATGAATATGAATGAATGTGAGGGGGTGAGGGGAGGGAGTGTGGGAGGGAGGCTTTTGGGTTGGTATATTATCTCTGTAAATGCATCCTGTGTTGTCATTTATGTTGATTTACTGTAATAATAATAAAAAATAAAATTACCTGCATATTCCACAATACATCAGGTCTGTTTAAATTATCAAATAAAATAAAAGATACTAATTTCGCTGTGGTCACAAATACAGTGTATAATCACCGAATAGATAGTATTCAAAACAACTTTATTTTGTAAATGAAGCCTGACATGTTCCAAAGTGGTGTTACAGACAGGTGGCTGGAAGACTCACAAAGCTTAGATTAGCTGCAGAGTTCACATAGCTGACTTTTATCTGCCAGTTTTCTGACAGCCCATTCAAAACAGAAGTCAAAATATTGGCTCAAAGAATTCCCAGAGATCTGTGCTCATCTCTCTTGGTGCTTAATTTGCTAAACTCAGCTCTGGTGCTGTTTGGATTGTATCAGATACAGAAGGCTCATTGTGTGCCCCCAGGAAGTGCTAATTACTTTGATAAGGGTTATTATTTTTTTCCACTATTTATTAAAGTCATACAGTCTGTCAAATGAGCCAGTTCCTTGTATCTCCCACTGTAAATTATTAGCTTTAAATCCTCTTAAAGTTTCTTGTAATCATTAATTACTGCACACATTTATGTCCTACTTCAATCATTCAATAACACAATAATTTATTTTTCCTAATTAACAACAAAGCAAATACCTTCCTCGACTAAATATTTTCTTATGTTCAAATTTGTCTTCTTGACATTTATACAGTTGCAGTAGCTCAGTTTTCTCTTTTATTTTATGATAAATAAAAGGACAATGTTAATTGTTTTACAGTAGGGTTAAAAGGGTGAACATTGCATAGAAAGTGCATTTTTTCATTAGCTTGCTCATTATTTTTCTTTTTTTTTTTCTCTTCCTTTTATTTGTATAGGAATTATGATAGCACCTGATTGCAGTCTTTAAAAATGTCACAGGCCCATTTTAAAAAGCTGTTCTTGATGCGGTAGGATATTTGCCCTAAACAAAATGCCCAGACGAGTAATCAAGTAAACAAATAAATATGCTGCTCCAAGGAAAGTTTTTTTTAAGCAAGATAATTTTTGAAAAATAATTGATGAAATGGAGAAAGTGAAAACATTTTCTTGCTTACATTAAAATAAATATATCAGCTTTGACACAAGTTAAGGCAAAGAGGTATGCTCCCATTTCTTTAAATTGTGTCTCACGTTGTGAATTTCTGAAAGACTGCATGTAAGTTTTTGGCATCCCCTAGAGATGTTTCTTCCATATATTACCTTAAAGGCCACTATGTTTTTGATAGAAATAGGAAAATCTGTGATGATTGGTTGAGGATTCCCGCTGCATGGATGAGGATGCACAGAATGCAGTTTGATCGAAGAAAGAAACAAAACAACAAAGTGGCCATCTGCTCATTAGGGACAGTATAAAGCTGATACAGGAAACAAAATTCCTTTTTTCTGACACTCTATAGTTGTGTGCAGTCATATTCAATGTGCTTGTTTTCTTATTATCATTCAGTCAATTTACTTGCATTTTATAGATTAATTACACTGAAATTTATGTTTTCGAGCCTTTGGTCGCATTAATTATGATCATTTTGTGCGTGAAAGAAATAAAGCAATGGTTTTGCTGCTGAACCTGAATATGCTGTTTGATATACAGTAATTAATTTAAAACTCAAAAAGTATAAGACAGCGGAATCATTGCCACCCATTGCTTTTCTACAGCTGCAGACCACAACTGGGACCAGATGCAGGCTGTTTGAAATATACTGTTGATCGAGGAGTCGCAGCGATCAACAGGATCGGTAAGTCTTCCCGCTGTTTTGGCATCAAAAAGTTTGGACTGATGATGCGCCTTTCTGAAGTGCTTCTTGATCTCCAAAATCTGAAAAATTATGGATTAAGCCTGACAAGAGATGTGCAATTTATTTAGATAATAAATCAATATTACAGCAAAATATTATCGATATATATTGTGGTATATATCATCAATCACCTAATAAATCCAACTCATTCAGTTGGTAAGATTTCAGTTGATGTCTTTCTTAGCAAATCTGAGATATTTAAACTGATGGCTCTCGTTCACATTGTAAGTTACTAAGCACTTGCGCCTCAGCTAACTGCCACAGTAAGTTATATAATTAGCAGTTGATCATTTCAGACACAAACCCTACTTAAAATCCTTACTACACCCTATTATTTTATCAGCTTACGCATATTAAACTTTTTCTAACAAATGCATAAATACTGGATCACTAACCTTTAGATAATTAAAAGAAACTTAAAAAGAAACGTTTTACTTTACTTAAGCAGTTTTTTATTGCCTAATTTTTTTAAAGTGATTTCATCTGTAATTAGATCTTTTTACCAGCAAACTCAAAGCCCCTGCCAGCATTAAAGGGTTAATGTAAATAGTTTACTTGCAAATCCTCGATGAAAAATGGCGGCAGAAATCAGTAGGGTGCTTTAACATGTTCAAACCAAAGCACGCTCTAATGAGCCTCCCAGAGGTCTGTTTGCAGAGCAGCTTTTGCATAGAAATATGAGTATTGCAACATGCTGAGCATACAAATGAAGAAATGCTGGGGGAGTGGCCAAAAAAGTGAAAACTTTGTCTTTCTGCAACTATTGTGAATTTGAACTCTTTATCGCCTCCTTCTAGTTCTATAAAGGCTGAGCGGTCAATTTTCAAAAGATCTGGGGTGGAGTATCACAGGAAGCAGCAGTTTCTTCTTTATGATGTAAGCTCTAACCTGAAAGCAATACTGCGTTATATTGATGTACTGTGCAAGCATAGATCATGTGTCACTGCTTCTTTGCAGACGTTTTCTTTTTCACATCCCGAGCCAATGAGGAGTGAGCTGTTCGGCGGGAAAGTGAGCAGTCACTCAAAGCCACTCTTGCAGAGTAATACCAAGAGGAAAAAGTTGGAATCCTATGAGGCTGAGATTATAAATCATCTGATTTATGGTGACAGTGCAGAGGGGGAAAACGCTAAACAAAAGCTCACGCTGAGGTGGTGCTGAGGAAAGCTGGCTTTATAATGTATTTGAAGACACAGCTGTGGAGCGACAGTATCTACACACCGCAAACTATAGATGATACATCTTGCTTCACACTGAACCCACATAGCAGTATTGTTTACTACCTGATAACCCAATTACTTCCATTGCAGCGACTCAGATAGAGATCACTGTCAGCACAAACACACTTAGGATGATAATCTACCTTGCTCGTAAACAACTGCAAACAGACAAGGTAATTAGAATCAGATGAGGAGGGTTGTTGCAGTTGTCGGCAGTGAAAGTAGCTGCCCTGTTGGAGGTCCAGCTGCTTCTGCACCCTCGGTTACCCTGCCTCCTGATCCTGCTCCAGGAACGTTTTCCTACACTGTTGTTTTGGACATGACCCTTGACCCACTAAGTTGATTAAAGGTGACCATTTTGTCATCTTTTACCAGATAAAGAGAAACCTCTCTCCAGGTTAAAACATGTGCTTTAATAGAGGAAACTACAGATGGCCCATGTGGAGGCTTGGTGTACAATGAAGTCACATGCAGCAATAGAAATGATTGATGCAATATTTCTTTTTCATTGCACTCAGTTGGAGCTGTTTTAAGAGCTGTGTCAAACAGCTGCATGTTGCTGCTCATCAGTTTGCTCTGACCCCACAGAGCCCTTGGGGATTAGCTACAGTAGAGGTGATATGTACTGTACAATAATAGAGGCTGGAAGATTTTCATCCCCCACAAGAGCCTTACGCAAGGTTATGTTTAAGCCCTTTGTGCACCTTGTCCTCCTTATCCCACTCCGCTGCCTGCCACTGCTTTGTCCC